CGTCTGGCCAACAGCCCCCTCCGCCACGGAGCTGGCACGTGCTGGCGCAGCGGGAACGGGCCCAGGCGTGACAAATCACTGAAAGGGCTCGGCTAAACTTGGCGGCTGGCGACCACCTGAGCCTCGCCGACCGGCCAGCAGCCCCTCGATTCATCGCCCGGCCCTTGGTTTTTTTTTTTTTTTTTTTTTGAGGCTGCCGGGCTGCTCGTGGGCCAGCTTTAAACAAGGGCAGGGAGACCAGAAAGGCTTTTTCATGCTCTGCCTAATAATATCCTGCTGTTTAATGGAAGACCCTGCGCATCTAAGACACAAGGGGACAAGGCGCGGAACAACCGCTAACGCTCCAGAAGTTTGTACCGATTTCCCTAAATATTGCAGGGGGGGGGGGCAAAGAGAGTGGGGAGATTTTGACTAGGTTAGCTTCACGTCTTGTAAAATCCTGACTTAGGAGATGGAAGAGTCCCCCAACCACACAAAAGACTGGAAAAAAACCCCACAACTGTTAACACACCAGAAGTTTGGACCGATTTCCCTAAAAATTGCAGGGGGGGGAAAAAAAAGAGAGCAGGGAGATTTTGACTAGGTTAGCTTCACGTCTTGTAAAATCCTGACTTAGGAGATGGAAGAGTCCCCCAACCACACAAAAGACTGGAAAAAAACCCCACAACTGTTAACACACCAGAAGTTTGGACCGATTTCCCTAAAAATTGCAGGGGGGGGAAAAAAAAGAGAGCAGGGAGATTTTGACTAGGTTAGCTTCACGTCTTGTAAAATCCTGACTTAGGAGATGGAAGAGTCCCCCAACCACACAAAAGACTGGAAAAAAACCCCACAACTGTTAACACACCAGAAGTTTGGACCGATTTCCCTAAAAATTGCAGGGGGGGGAAAAAAAAGAGAGCAGGGAGATTTTGACTAGGTTAGCTTCACATCTCGTAAAATCCTGACTTAGGAGATGGAAGATGCCCCCAACCACACAAAAAACTGGAAAAAAACACACAACCGCTAACAAACCAGAATTTTGTACCAATTTCGCTAAATATTGCAGGGGGGGGGGGAAAGAGAGAGGGGAGATTTTGACTAGGTTAGCTTCACATCTCGTAAAATCCTGACTTAGGAGATGGAAGATGCCCCCAACCACACAAAAGACTGGAAAAAAACCCCACAACTGTTAACACACCAGAAGTTTGTACCGATTCCGCTAAATATTGCAGGGAAAAAAAAAAAAGAGCGGGGAGATTTTGACTAGGTTAGCTTCACGTCTCGTAAAATCCTTACTTAGGAGATGGAAGATGCCCCTAACTACACAAAAGACTGGAAAAAAAACCCACAACTGTTAACACACCAGAAGTTTGTACCGATTCCACTAAATATTGCAGGGAAAAAAAAAAAAGAGCGGGGAGATTTTGACTAGGTTAGCTTCACGTCTCATAAAATCCTTACTTAGGAGATGGAAGATGCCCCTAACTACACAAAAGACTGGAAAAAAAACCCACAACTGTTAACACACCAGAAGTTTGTACCGATTCCACTAAATATTGCAGGGAAAAAAAAAAAAGAGCGGGGAGATTTTGACTAGGTTAGCTTCACGTCTCATAAAATCCTTACTTAGGAGATGGAAGATGCACAGAAGGCTGGAAAAAAACCCCAAAACAACTGACCAAAACCCCAGCCAAACAGCTGGGTGGCTACAGGAGAGGCATCTGAAAAATAAGAGAAAAATAAGTAAAAATTATAAGAAAAATAAGTTTAGGAATTTTAATAGAGGCATTAGGAACATAACAAACGAGCTCTAAAGGACCCTCTGAAGAACACCTCCAGCCTGCAAGCACAGGTCAAGAAAGCAGCAGGACATCACGGATACCATCTGATCTCTCACACTAAATCTCTGTTCTGTAACTTACACAAGTTGCACTTCCTCTGCGTGCAAACCAACCCACTGATTTCCAACTTAATCGTGTCTATGTCAGAATCTTCTGTAGGCAGCACCATCTGCCAGATAACCCGGGCTCCCCAGTTCTGTATTTTGAGGATCCGAGAGAACAACACACCCCAAGAATAATAACAGGAGATGGGAGGAAAAAGGATGGAGGAGAAGACTCGGCTTTTCGAGACTGTTTGTACAGGAGCCATCTCAAACTGTAATTTTGTAATTGTAACTGTAATACAAAGCTCAAGAAGCTTTGTATTTCCCACCACCACCAGGCCAGAACGTGGGATCCAGGGGGTCACCAGTGCAATACCTGCTCTGTCAAAACTGCAGCTCTTGGAAATGTGATGTGCCTTCACCCTTAAGGACCAGCCACGCCATTTCACTCCCTTACACACGTCGGAACATTAAGCTGAATCTTTTTACTGCAAAATCCGTGGCATCTCCCTCCTAGGAGCTTTCAGCACGGCGTGGCTGACACAAAGCTGCCCACAACCGCTCAGCCTCGCTGCATTATTTAGACGGAGCCAAAACCGCCGTGGAAATGACCACTTTTTTTTTTAAAAAAAAAAAATGCAACACATGCGTCAACAACCTCCCGTTCCCGGCTCGTTGCTATGCTCTGGGTCGAGCAGGGCCAGGAGAAAGCTTGATGTGCCTGAGTGGCTTTTCTACAGAAGCCTCAAGGCTAGATTGCTGAAGTGAAGCATGCAAATCATTTTCTGAAGACGGCCCTGGCTGCGGAGAGGATGGGTTATGGTCTTGAACCCTACCCCGCTGAAGAAGCTGGACAGCTGGCTTCCCTGATTAACTAAGCCCCCATTTATCTGAAGGTTTTGGGCGTCCCCTGAGATCTCCAGATAAATGGAGTTATACCCGACATTCAAAGGAACTGATCAAAAGCAGCCCCTCTTTTAATATGTATGGCAATTTGACCCACCTCTGCAACGACTGCGTTATTTTACATTTCGCTCCTACCGAGGGCAAAACTCCCAAGCAAAATGCTTTCAGCCAGCACAAACATTTTTATTTATGTCATGTATTCAATGATGTAAAGAGCCATGACAAGGTGTGAATTATCGACCGAGAATATATATATATAACTGTGGGAGAGCAGGAATTTAGCTCCGATTTGAATACAGCAATCAAATCTCAGGATTTGAATATTATGAGCTTTTATAACTTCTTTATCAGTTTATCAATTATTTTAACAGTGTGACCATACAATGTAAGCTGTTTGAAAAAAAAAACACATTAAAATGCTAAGGTTAAGTATTTGCAATAAACCGTGCCATCTTATGGAAAGCAGTAGGATGATCTGTGAAGTTCTGGGCCATGAAC